GTGGAAAACATGGCAGCTGAGGAGAAGAGAGTGGAAACAGAGTAAGTGGCGGATGCTCCAGGCAATGCCATCTGTGGGTGGATCTGCAAAGGCTGCGTGCCACACACCTGTGTGGAACTGCCTGGGAGATAAGGCCCTCAGCACAATGGCCCCGTGGCCACCTGTGCTGCCAAACAGGTGCACAGCCCAGCCAATTAAACTATTAGACAAACACAGGCCTCTGGGAGCAAATTAGCAGGCTGCCCAAACATCACAGGAAAAACAAAAAGCAATGGTAAGCACTAACTGAGAAAAAGAGCAACAACACTTTGATGGTGAGACTTTCATTTCAGTGTATAGAATTAAGCTTTATATCTCATGAAACAAAGTGCGGGTTTTGATTTAATTATCACATAAATGCTGAAAATGTCTCCGGTATTTAAACACAGACCACTAAATGAGTTCTTTGATACAAATAGCATGAATGAATATAAAACGTATGTATTAGGATCAAGGCATTATTTTCTATTATATATCCACATGACACTAATATTTCATGATACAGAGGTATCTACAGTGAAGAAAATGGAGTGCATACAGGACGAGACACTGCATTCAATAGCCCACTTGTGACAGAGCAGTGCTTTAGCTGGTCATTAGTGACGTGACGTTCGTGAACGAGCCGAGTCTTTGAACCGCCTCTTTGAAGTGAACAAGCCAGTTCCTAATTTCTTTGTTTTTTGCTTTAATTTACTCTGTATCCATTAATTTCAGATTATTTGATCGGGAGCAACTTGAGAGAGACTAGTTTGTGAGGGATAAAGACAGTGCAGCTGCTCACTCGTTCACTTCAAATAGCTGGTTCAAAGACTCGGCTCATTCGCGAACATCATATCACTAGTAGGAAGCTAACCCACTATCTGCTAGCACTTGCTGACAGGCTTGTTGTTTATAAAGGGCGTTGCTATGGCTACACCTAACTTTATATCTGCGGAGTCTATTCTGGGTCCACGTTACTATATCCAGATCATGAGATGAGATAAATCAGCAATGCGATTTGTCGTTGAACCCACTAACACCCCCCACATACACACACACAGCAAAACAAAAAACAAACAAACAAACAAACAAACAAAAAAACGAACAAACGAACCGCATCTTTGAACCAGCTCTTCAAAGTGAAGGAGAGCCAAAGAATCGGATCTCACAAGTGAACCAGAAATCCCATCACTACTGGTCATATGACAATGATTAATCTAATCTGAAACATTGACTGTACAATAAACTTCTGAAAAAGCATATTTTTAGACAAGGAACAACAAAAATATTAGACATTTAATGCTTAGCTTCAGCACTCCTGCAGCACTGCACTGACTTTTCCCAGACATTGGATACATTTTGTAGCTCAACAATATTAATTAATTGATGATATTTTATTTTCATTTTCGTCAAATACAGTTTAGCACCATGTAAGCATTTGTTTGAGTATTTCAGGCCATTTTGGACTGATTCTTTTAATAATAAACACAGGCAGGACAAGGCAGGAATGGTAGTGTATTGGTAGTGTATTATGCACAAGTTACCAGTATGTCTCTATATTTACACAGGATTATTTGCTACTGTCTTCAGTTAAAATTCATAATAAAGTCCCCAAAATATCAATTTTCTAAAGAAGGCCACCTGATCATTATTCTAAGGTGTAAATTAAAACAAGCATGAATGCTCTGCCGTCTAATCCATGGTTATTTTCGGTTTATGATAACATAGCGTACAAAGGTTACATTAACATAGTGAAGTCAGAAGAGTAGCAAACCAAATGTGGATTTTCTGTGTGTTGTGATCCATGACAATTAAGTGCATTCATATTCATTAGGAATAACCTTATCCATGCTTCAAGAAAACAATCAGGACAGTTTACCCAGGAGAGAAATAATGAGAGGCGTAAAGATGAGCAGGGGACCGGTGTTAGTCAACACTCGCACAGTCCTGCTCAACATACACACCCAAAAAGGTGGCTTTCTCCCCTGCCTGGACCTGGCCATCCGTAGGAGGCGACTCCTCCATAAAGCACTGGTCCCTTTTGTGCTGGTCAAAGGTTCAGCCATTTGAAAACACCCAGAGGGCAAGCTTGGCCTCGCTCAGATCCCTTAGGCACCAGTTGGCCTTTCTGAGTAGATGGGCTGACTTGACTCCCCACAGCTTCCCGGAGACTTTGGAGACTGACTTCACAGCTCTCAAATCACTCGAGGGATAATTACTTAGCTATTCATTAAACTATATGACATACTTTATATGTGCATTCATGTACAGCATTATTAATCCATCTGTGATTCCTCTGTGTATGTCTCACTAGTTTAACTTGTCAGACAATTGAATATCTTTGTATACTTGACATAAATTAAACCAACATGCCATGTGGAACTCGTTGGTTGGATCATTTTCTCTCCTGAGTTTCATACAGAAGAAGAGCACTGCTGTGAATGAAAATTTCCACTATGCCCACACATGAATGGTTGTCTTGAGCAGTGCAGGATTTTAGCAAGGGCACACAACTCTTTGTGCTTTTCTCTGAAATTGGTTAATGCTGAGATGCAGCGGTAGTGCTGGTAGTAGCACACAGATTAAATAAAAGCTCCTTCGGGGCCAGGCTGGCAGGTCCTTTCTCTGTATCCAGGGTGAACATAAAAAAGTATTCCACTTATCCGATGACCATTTAATATGCACCATTCATTGATTCACATTAAGAAACATCTCCTCAACAGTGGGCTGGTAAATAATTTAAAGGATCTGCTGTCACTAAGGGTTTCCTTGCACTAGTGGGACCAAATTAAAACTGAAGATCCCATTTAAAGAGAGAAGGCAGAGAATTTGGGTGAAAAGTAGAGACAAGGCTTACAAACTCACTGAGGCCTGGTAATGAACGACTCAAGAGACACAGGGCTCAGCAGGACAGAACTGAGAACCAAACAAAAATCTAAAATCATGTTTGACTGCAGTTTTGTATAGGTTGATTACAGACGCAGGTTGTGCACATGACACAGAGCTACGTGTTAATTAAGGTCTCAGGACACCTGGCTTTCTGATGTGGAAAAGTCCACTTCCTGTCTGAGCTTAATGGACAGAGTGGTCTGGAATGACAGACTCACCACAAGTCACAATAAGCTTGTGTGTGTGTCGTTTGGTCAGCTACACCATACACTGCGCTTGTTTAAAGTTGATGCTGTGCATTCATCTCGTCTAACATACCCAATCAATCCACACAGAACAGGTCCAATGAGGTTCCTTTATAATCATCCAATTAGAAATAAATGGTTTCCAGCAGACAGCTCCTTGCTCTGATTAATGTAGAGGGGACTGGCGTAATTGGAGTGATGTGATTAGCATGAAGAGGGACATTAATGAAAAAAAGCCATATTTACTTTCTTCAAATGTCAATAAATGGACAAAGGAACAGAAGGAACTGTATGAGATGCCATGAGTAAATATAAATCTTTGTTCATCCTTAAATCATTACAGGTACATATACACTTAGTTGCCGGTTTGTTAGTTAAGGGTAAGTTTTGGTTGTGTGTGTGTGAGAGTCTCACAAACTACTGGACCAGTCAACATCTATTGCATAACTGTTGTATTAGATTTTAGCTTGGTGTACCTAATAAACTGGTAACAGAGAGTATATCCAAGGAATTTTTATACATAACAACATCCATGTTCTTTCTATCCACATAACCCAAATTGTGTTTGGATCCCACTGAGGTAGAGATGGTCAGCACAGTAAAATATGTCTAATATGCAATTGCTTCACAACAGGGCAAAGCTTGATGGCATGAGTAAAAGCTCTTATGTACAGCCTTTGCTTGTCCTTGCACTTTATCACTTAGTCCGAGCTTTCGTCAGATCTGCTCTATCACAAACACAACAAAGTGATGCTTCGGTGCAGTCAGGATGACATTTGGGTTCACAATACATGACGTGCTGCTGCATCACTAGAGTGTAGCTGGTTCATTCATACATACAGTAAGAAGTCTTTACAGCTGTCTATTTCGGATCATGTCACATAAAGTGTGGCCAGGGCCAAAGAAAAACGTTCGCTTTTCCTTGACATGAAATAAAAGTTTAGAACATTGCTTTGATAGAGAGGATATATGGTTTGTAAAATCAGTTAGGATTGCTCTTCAATAGTTTGCTGAAAAGGATACTTTCAAACATCAATGTCCAGAGGACAGAGGTTACAGAGGAAACCTTTGTTCATATCATATCGTGATATCCGCGATATTTGGACTTGTTGACATACTGACGTCATACTGTTACCCACGGCAATAACAAGCCTGGCTGCAAGCAAAATAATTAGCAACTCTGCAGTGATTCCAAAAAGAGGAGCCGTTTTAGTAGTGTGAAATTAACTATGGCATCATTAGGCCTGGGCGTCCCAAATGTTTTATAAACAGCCCTGCACTTCTCAGACTCTTTCAGCGAGTTACTCTCCTTGTGGAGAGAACTCATTCAGTGGATCCACCAACAGCAGCACAGCGTCCCTCCCTCTTCTATCGCTGTGCGCACCCTGGAGTCGGTGTCGTCAAGTGATTAAACCTTCGTGACGCTCGCGGCTCGACACAAAACTACGTATATATGAATGTGCGATAGTTATGGTATGGCCTGTCACAGGTTACATAACTTATTTTGTTGCAATACTGTTTTCTTAATCATAAAAAAATCAAGAATATCGTTTTCGAAAAAATACCCTGAAATATTGTGATATTATTTGAGGGCCATATCGCCCACCCCTAGTGAATAACCTACCAAACATACTGAGAGAGTGATGTGTATCCTAATCATTGTGGGACTGTCAAATCCTAAACTATAGACACAGCTAATCCTCAACAGCAAGCTTGGCTTCGTGACTCTATAAAGCATCTGATAATGATAAACTCATATAAGTGCTTAGAGCTGTGGTATTTGCGAATATCGCTCAGAACACAAGGCACCGTTTGCAATAAATGAAAAAAAAGGCTTGAGTTACTAACCTGACAGGGTTACTGGTGAGAGACACTCTGAGGGACTCCAGGCAATTGAGCAGTTTTTCTTCTGTGATGCCAGAACGCAGCTCGTGGACGTATTCTTGGGATGAAAGTGTACACTCATGCTTGCTGTTCCTTAGTCCACCCTGAAAACAAAATATCAACAGGACAGTTACTAGATTACCATCATACACTGTAACACCTTGGTGATGTGATAAAGAACAACAATGCTCATCAATAGAAGAAAGAAGAAATTTGTGGACACAGGTGAAGGGCATCCATGTATTATTTGCATCACCATATTTCTAAGTAAATAAAAAAGGTGACTGACCTATTACAGGCTGAATAAACTAAACTAGATCAATAGCAACAGACTTAACCACACCAGGAAGATGAATTTATATTGTTGAGTCAGTATCTTGTGTTCTCAAAAGGTGTCGTTTTTGAGACTTCTTTGACTCAAAATTCTTTTCTCAGATACTTTCACACATTCTCACAAAGACGCAAGTGATAAAAGCTGGCTCAAACTCCTGTATAAGAAAAAGGATGAGAGAGCGTCTGGAGATTTGTCAGCCAATTTCTCTTTTTTTCTCAATCAGCCAATATTCTAATGATGGACCATACTCGGAGAGAGCCAAACACAGGCTCTGTGTGCTATCTGCCGCAGCTCCTGTTGAAGTAAATGGATTCTTGTGTATAATCTCCACAGAGGGCTCTAGGGACATGTTGCTACACTGATGCTTACACAATGAGACTACCTATTGGCAGCAATACACACACTTACACCACAGCAGGGAAACACATTTACACACTCACTCTCCCAGCATACAGTGTAGTCAACATTGTACACTAGATTGAGCTGCAGTTTGACTCCAAAGTAACAGACTGATTGAATCTATGTTCTGACACCGTTTCCATGCAGTCCAGCAATCAACATCAATTTCGAGGAATACAAATGAAAAAGCTTTGCGTGCAAATTGATTAATCTTACCACATTATCTCTACTCCCAGAACAAGCTCCAAGAACAAATATGTGTTAAATTAGTAATTTTCAGGTCCTGTAGTCAAAATGAACTACATTTCAGGTGGGGTTTGAGTCAAGGCACCATACAAAGCAAAATGAAAAAGAAGCTGCAGAAACAGCATCACATATGCTGAACCAGACTAGACACAATCATCTTCACTGTGTTCATCCCTGGACTGCTGGTTCCCCACAAAGTGAGCTGCGCTAATAGGCAGTTTGGGAAGTAATAAGCTAGCTCATTTATCTGGAGAAAAGAGAGGCCTGCTGCTCTCCTGCAATGCACAGTCAACATGAAAGAACCAGTTTTTTTTTGGTCAGAAAAAGAAGAGGCAGTCTAACAACAGCAAGCTCCCAATAACTGTGCTTCAGATGTAAACTGAGCTCATATTGGCTTAATAATGACTTGCAGTGTTTATTTGATAAACGCTGACGTAAAATCACATTACTCAAACTGCAGGAGTGACTCCTGCTGAAGCAAAGCAGAGGTGGCTCTGACCACAACCATGGTAAAATTATATTTTGTTATTCAAAGTGGAAATGTAGGCAAGACTTTTTCGACTTTTTTTAAGGGCACTCACAATTAAATTTAACACCAATTTAACACTAACCAAAAATTTAAGGGAAAAAAAAACATAAATTGATCTTAATTTTGTAGGGATAGGGAAAATTTTGCATATGTTTTATAACATAAAAAACATGACTCTTTTGGCATTTGTTGGCAAGTTTTCTTGGTGATTTTGTGTATCTCACTCTGCATGTGGGATTCCACTGGCTTGATTCCCAGCTTGCCAACTTTGACAAACTTTTTTGTATTAAGTAAACTGGGCCTTGTATGCAAAGCCTTGTACCAGTTTCAGCCATGCCATGAAATCTTGGTTAAATAGCCAGTTTTAATGGAATTTGCACTTCCCCATGTCATCCAGGGTATAGTGAAAGCTAGCTAGCAGACATTGGATTCTCAGCCAGAACCAAAATATGAGTGTTTTATGTTCAGTTTACCTGATTTGCGTGACATTTATGCAAGAGGAATTCCGTAAATTACTGAAAAAAATAGATATTATCAGTTACTGTGAGATTTTACGATGCAGCTCTATGTCAACATTTTTAAGACTTCTGAAAGATGGATTTAAGACATTTTAAAACCAATTAAAGCCTTGTCTTTTTAGATTAATTAATGTACTGCCCTTTAAGGTTTTTTAAGTATCTGTAGGAACCCTGTTTATGAGAAGGACATTTTGTATGCAACACCAATCAACATGCAAAAACATGTATCTACTTATACCACTCCACAAGATTTAATTTCACTATTCCTTTTGTTATGCATCCATGAACCATTAGACCTTTTGAGATAGGAATTGTGCACATTTGCAGGGAAGCCCAATCAGTCTTTTTTCAGCATTGGCAATATAAAAACAAAATCGGGGAAAGGCGGCAAAATGCTGCCTGCCTACTTTTGTTTATACAGAATGCTCCTTCTTGGGGCAATGGGGTTGGCGTGAGCAAGTAACAAAACATGTGGCTCAGTAGGCGACGTTAACAGTGACGTGAGAGGGAAGCTGCGGCTAGTCAGGCGGCAATCGGCCCGTCCTTCACCGTCCCTGTCATCTGACGGTTAATGGCCTCTTCATTTGCGAGGGCAAGGAGGGTGCGCAATTCCTTGTCTCCCCAGTTGCTCATCTCTACAGTGTCTGTCAGGTTTGCGTTTCCCTCTTGCTACTAGCTGCTCGCTAATTCCTGCTATCAGCTGTTTCCTGTTTATCCACCGCCAGTGGCTCGCACGTGCGGCGTCATCAACAGCTCCTCCCACAAGTCATCAACAGCCCCTCCTGTTGTGGAAGGCCACCTCAGTCTGTTTAAACTAAAAGGGCTCCGCCAATATGTCTACCCCACGAGGTGGAAAATTGGGCGCCTCGAATCAACTCGCCAATCCGCCTCTGTGCGTATAAATGCTCGCAGCTGGCCGGCAAAACGGCCCAACATTCGCCGAAAATCTGGCAGTGTAAAAGGGGCTATTGTTATTTTTGCTCTATTTTTATGTTCTACTATGGCTTTAAACATTTTCATCTGTTCTGCTATTGTGACACTAGCACTTCTCAAAAAAAAAAGAAAGTAAAATCTCAAAGCAAGTTAAACCTGCGAGGGTACTTTCAGGTAATTGTCTCGTGTTTGAAACTATAGTTTGATTGTGTAATAAATCCATTTTTTGTGCTTGTCTTTTCTCCCATCTTTCATAGTTTGATCTATACAACACTTATACCATTCATCCTTTTCTCAAGCACTATTGTGTGAAGGTGGAGGAGTGACTGGCTTAGCTTTTGTTTGACTGACGAAAGCTATCACGCTATAGGGAGAGGTAAGAATCTGCGTCGTTACTATCTAGATTTTTCAACTACTACCTACCACAGGACTCTTTGTTGCACATTTCTGCCTAACATAATTTCTACATGCCTTTCTTGGTGCTGACTATGAAAATGAAAATGATAAGAACAGGTATACACTATGTGAAGGCTCAATTAGATGGAGCAGAGGAGAAAAACAGACACTCCAGACACTTTACAGAACCCGAGGTTGAAATGCTGGGACTTTGTTCAAGTTTTTAAGACAGCAATGTAAAACTGTCTTTATCGTAGGTACAAGCATGACATTTACTTTTTTTCTGCTTGTTTAAGTAAAAAATCTATTAAAAAAGTCCCTCAGTGGGAGTACTTCAACAGACTCTTGAAATCAGCGCACAAAGAAAAGTTCATGTAATTCGTGTTTGACTCACTTTTGAAAAATGCTCTCAGGAACTTTATCCTAAATAGTCAATGTACTGTGACTGTGCGTGTGTGTGTGTGTGTGTGTGTGTGTGTGTGTGTCTGCATCTGCCTTACAATTTCTTTCTTTAGACTCTGATTTGCAAAGCCTCTATCTACTTTATTAACTTTATTATGTACAGAGTTCAAGGAAATTAGCATTTTCAATCACAGCCCAATAATCTTTCTTTGTTTCACAAATAGGTAATGTGCAGCCAAGGTATGCCTGCAAGGGTTGATGATGAAAATGTCTAAAAAAAGAGGCATGAAACATTCTGAACTAATGTCATGATATGATAATCAGCCAAACCAGCCGTGATGAAATTATTGTTCGGGCTCAGTAGTTAGCTGGGTCTATTCTTATGGTGCCTTTTAACATCAGGAGAAGGGCAACAGATGGGAATTAGCTGTTTAAGCCCACTTTAGATAATGCTGATTTTTTTTCTGTTGATCAACGAACACATTCCCAGTAAAATAAACTCATAAGATAAACTTTAAAATATACTAACCAACTGAGTACATGGTTCTTGTCCAATAGATTAATTTTGTCATAACAAGGGGCACTTAGAATTGGTGAACTATTTCCGTCTCATCTACCAAGATGTCTGACAGATACAAGATACAAAATAAATTGTATTCTCAGAGACCTGCAGATGGGAACTCAACTGGGAATATCCAACTTGGTCAGCAAGGCTAACACAGTAACTTTCTTACTCGTGAACCATCCTGTCCCAAACATAAATATGTGGACTGACATTTTGAAGCCTCGAGTTTGGCATTAATGCTGTCGCCATCTTGGGGTTTTTTTTGGAGCCATAAGTGACCATATGTGGATGAGAGGGTGGAGCTGTGGATGAAGGAGGGGTGGATCTGACTAATAGACTGTGGTGACACCTTGCAGACAGCCTGTCTCTAAGCAAACCACGCCTTTAATTATGCTTGAACTTAATCAAATCTAAATGGGTGAGTTATATAAAAATTCACTCCCTGTACAGTTGTTATAAATGTTGAAATTAGCTAGGAACCAAACCTATTTGTACCTGGCTGTAAACATGTTTATTTCTGCTGTAATTTGGGCAGGTTAAAGAGGGTGTCTATGGGAACTGACTCGCTTCTGAAGCCAGCCTCAGGTGGTCATTCAAGGAACTGCAGTTTTTGGCACTTCCTTGCTGGCTTCATTTTTTCAGCCCTGGAGCTTGCCGCTTGGTCCTAACAAGCAGGAACAAATATAGGATACTATGACCAGCAACTATATCATTACTACAAGATTTATCCTGTAAAATTATACAATAATACACCAACAATATAACATGCAGTAACACACAGT